GGGTGGGCGCCTCCTGCCCGCTGTGCGCCGGCGGGGCTCGGCGGGGCTGCTCGCGGGTTGCCAGTGTTTGCCGGCGTCGGGAATCGGGGTCGGGAGAAGTGAAACCGGATGAAATTGCGGAGGAGAAGGAGCAGGGTTGAGGCGCACCGCGGTAGCCAGCCAGCAGCCACCTCTCCAGGTGAAGAACAACTAGTCAGCAACCCCCCACCAGAAGAATGGGCTCGTTTGATTACACCCCCCACTATGTCCAGCCATGTAGGCCACTTGATATGTGACACTACACACTTTCCTGCCAGCAGAATCCTCCATTAAAAGCCCTAAATGTTCTAAAACTGAGTCCAGTGAGAAGGCCTCTTTATAACCAATTTAGCTAACCTGCTATTACGGCATGAAACCTACCTCAGACCGCGTGTAAGCAAGTGCAAGTCTTTTAAAATTAATCAAGCGCATGTCTGATGTGGGTCTGAAATTGTCCTTGGTCTGCACTAAAGTCCTTGGGCCACCTCAGCAGCTGTTCACCTCCAGAGACAGAGTCGGTAGCACAGGTAAAGGGCTTTAGACTCTTCTGCAGCCACACCGAATAAAAGAGATGAAGCCATGTCAGCAGGTTGCACAAGGCAGGTGTACTTGTGAGAGTGTGGTGGTTTTTGTCAGAATGCTGGCTGCAGAGGGCACAGTTTTAGCACAGTCCTGATTTTGCGGGGCAGTTGCCTTCAACCATTCTTTTGTGTGGTAAACATCTCTGGTGCCTTGCTCCTTTCACTTTCAGGATCTTCTTTCCTGCCTCTTTTACCTCAGAAAACTCCCAGGATGAATACGCTAACAATAATTATCCTATTAAATTATAGAGGCATATTCTATAATTAAACATGTGCAAATGGCTTGCTGTGTTTATGCCTGGACTGTGCCTGTTTATTAATGATAATCTGGGTTTTGTTGAAGATGTGAGTTAGTTTTTGTTGTTTGGATTCTGCTTTGCAGTCGTACAAGAAAGCAGTATGTCTATACCCTGTCATTTTTGTTGAAGTGTGTAGGCACTGTGGGGTCTTAGCATGGAACAGGATGAGAATATGAATTTGGAAGGTGTGATAGCCGGTGCAGGCAGGACACAGGAACAATCACAAAACCACAGATAAAATGCAAAGAGCAAATTTATTCTCGTTACCTTGTGACCCAGAGGATCTCTGCAGCAGCACTCAGGCAGAAGCACCAAGTGGGGATGCAGATACCACGGACCTCAGTCCTTGCTAGCCAGAAAGAGGAGAATTAAAAAAAAGATCTCAAACCCGCTGCTTTCGCCTGTATATATCAGGGATTTTCACAGGTGCATTTTTCTACTGTGCTTTGATCTTTCCCACAGGAGGGCAGGAATTTCAAGGATGTTTGATGGATGCCTCTGAGGCTCTCACAGGTCTATGTTATCTAAGCACAGACATTCTACCCGTCTAGCACACAAACCTAAACAACAATTAATGTGGTATATGTGGGTTTTGGCAACCCAGATGCAAGTTACTTGAGCGTGTTTACAGTCCTCCTCGACAATCTTCCGTTGTATTCCCACACAGCAAAGTAAGCATACTTTGGATAACGAATCTTAGCATACTAAGGATAATGAATCCTTGAAGTCAGAGAGTATTTGTATTCTGGGATTTGATTTTTTTCCACTGTAGCAATAGAATCAAACTATTCAATATGGATATTAGTCCTGATATAGATTATAACTCTATACCTCACTCAGAATGAAGGGTTGGCCAGGATGGCATTCTTGACCTTAATGATGAGCAGACACAAGAAAGGAGGCAAAATCTGCCCTAAATGAACAGTCCCATAACTCATGCTTATGGATGGGGTACTTTAGACCTTCTTAAACATCCCTTTTAAGAATAGATGTTTCTCTGTGTTGTTCTCCTTCAGGTGGAACTATGTAGTCCTCTTGCTCTGAGATGGGATCTGGCTGCTGCAGTTGACTTCTTTTCTGTCTGTATATCTATTTTAACTCTGGAAAGCCAGGCTGTGTTGTGCATTTTTCATCCCTATTACAGGACCCAGTGGTAGTGGATAATTAAGTCACTCAGATCTAGCTCCTTCAAAATGAGAGTATTATTTATTCACTGAGACATGTACATTAATTGGGGAAAAATATGTACTTATTTTCCTATCAAGCCTTTGTAGGGTTTTTTTCAGTGAAGCCATCTCTGAGCTGTGAGAGACATCTAGCCAGCTATAATTCATCGGTGTCTGCCTGTTTTCTTGTATGATTTCCACCACTCATCAGGAGTCCTTGGTTACTCATGACAGCTAACCCAATCCCTTTCTTTAATAAGGCTGGAGGGTTTTTTTTCTTTTTATGATTTACTATCCTATTTGATCCTGACCTCAGATGTGGGAGGGTCAAGCCATAAGAGCTTGGTTAGTCCTCCCTGATAATTAGTCTTCCTAGAACAACACTGGGGATCTTTCAACTGCCTTTTTTTTTATGCTATGCTGTTTCCTTTTGATTTGTACTCAGTGATCCCTGAATTTCAGACAGAATGGCACCAAGCAGATCAACTTGTCCTCCTATAGTGTTTGTAAATAATTATGCATATACTTTCCTTATTCTTCATACACTTCTAAGGGAAGCAGTCTGATGGTAGAAAACTAGCATAACTGGTTCCAAGCAGTGTCCCACCACGTATGGAGAAGAGAGAGATGCAATTTGCACTTCAGAGTTTCCCCTCATGCCTTTGACAGTCTTTCATGAAGGCTGCCTGGTTCCTGGCCTGATACAGGGCTCAGAGAAGTAGAAAAAAATGTCAGATCCATCTCAGGTCACACAAATGTATGCGATCAGAGTTTGTGAAGTCTTGATTACTTCAGGGATGTGACAAAGAAGGGAAAACTTCTTAACAATGATAGCTCCTGTATTCTCAGCATCAGAATTCTCTGTCCAGTATGTTATGGACTTGGCAATATCCTTGACCATGAAAACAGGTCATTGGGACTGAGTAACTGTGATTATCTCTCTCAAAAGATGGGGAATTATTTAGTCCCTCCCTTAGGGTTGGGATCTATAATGAAAGGGCTATCGCACTTTGCGTGTCTGCAGGGGACCTCAGACCAGTTGCACAGCGCAGTGCCATTAGACAGCCACCCTGAGCAAATAAAGGGTAGAAAGACCTCCCTCCAGTTTGTTCCTACTGTACTAGCTGCAGTGTAACCTTAGCAACAGAGATGAGAGTGTCAGTAATGAATCAGTAATGTGAGAGACAACCTGGAATGAACATCAAAGGGCTCCTCCAGCCTCATTCTGTGTCTGACCTGGGAGCCTTTGGTAAATTCACTTGAACCATCTGCCTTGGCTTCCACAGCTTAAACGTGGGGATAACGGCACTTGCTATAGAAGACTGCAGAAGCAGCAAGGGCTGATGTGTCAAGGGAGTTCAGGGTTTGGGTTTTCCCTGCCAGCACTGCCTCGTTTAGCATGAGCTGTGAAATTCATGATGGGAGAGTGGCTACATAACTGCATGGCTACCCTCCTCTCTCCCCCTTCACCAATGAGTAAAATTGGTGAAGTACAAGTAAATACAAGTAAAAAGAGGCCTGAAATGTGTAGGTTCTGTTTAGATTGTTTAGGTACACAAAATTCTCAGAGGGATGCACATCTTCAGGTGTCAAAGTGCTTCATTGTCTGGTAGTTTCAAAGATTTTCTCAGTTACGCCAACTATGCACAATGTCCAGCAGAAGCTGGGAGGCTCAGCCACCTCAGAGAGAAGGTCTCATCTTGCACAGTCTAATCCTGCCCTCCGAATACCAGGTCATGAGGCTGACCTATATGTTGCCATGGCAGTGAGTCAGGAGTTAGAATTCACAGTGAAACAAACATGATTGCTAAGATCACCAGTCCCTCCTAGCAGAAATGACACACATACACATGCTCATTCTTTTTTAATTATTCATGCAATAATTTGCAAAGTTGCTAAAAGTGACTACGGGCAAGTGTGTCAGGGATGTTCCTTTTCTGTGTGACATCCTTAAATGCTGTCAGCACATCCATATGATTTCACATTCAGCAAATAATAGCAAGGAGTGAAAGTGCTGCTGCAGTCCCAGAACTGGGAAGGATTTCTCTGGAGACCACACTGCAATGTAAATGACACTGCTGTGGCCAACCACTCCTTTTCTAAAGAACCCACCCTATTTTTGTGAACCGGCTACATAATAATGTTTCTCTCCCCACCTCCAACAGCAGACAGAGCTGGACACTCCCATCTGTTGATCCTCTCAGTGCCTGCTCAGTGTCTGTGAACAGTAAGGGGGATTTAAGACTATAAGCACATTAACTCTGAGCAATTAAAATATACTGCTTATAGTCAACACAGTGAATTACACACAGCGCTGGGGTTGTAGCAGACAGGAATCAGCTATTTGGGGAAGAACAACAAGAAAAATAGTGTTTCAGCCAGTCAAAATGCTACAGTTGTGTATGAGAGTGATATACCAGTATTTTTCAGAGAAAACCAACATGTATTTCGAGTTCATTAACTGAGTCTTGCATAATGATCACAGATTCCTGATTTTGTGCTATTATAATTTGCTTGGTGAAGATAATATGAAAAACTTAGTTGAAGGCTTTGAAATGTTATTTTGTGAGATACAAGGTGTAACACTCAAGAGACACGAGACACCACATCTTACTTTGTTGGAAAATGGTGAAAAAGTCTAGCCACCTCCTACTTACACTGAATTTTGTTAGATAAATTGATTTATCATTTAATCCCAACTATGCAAGAAGTAGTCTTAAAAATGACAGTTTATCTTTCCTGTTTAGCATTGTTAGATTCCTTACAAAACATTAATTACATTTTCAATAATAAGAAAACAGCTTTGATATTTGAAGTGCATCTATCATCTACTGCTCATCAACAATGAAAAGGGTGAGACAGTTTTCAAAGGG